GTACTGTACACTACTGCTCAAAGGTTTGGGTTTGGTAAGATTTATTAAATGTTTTTTTAAAGAAGTTTCTTCTGCTCACCAAGGCTGCATTTATTTGATCAAAAATATATTTCAAAATGTAATTTATTCCTGTGATGCAAAGATGAATTTTCAGCATTATTACTCCCATCTTCATTGTCACATGATCCTTCAGAAATCATTCAGAAAATGTGCTGCTTAGAAACAATTTTTTTTTCAGGATTTTATTTTTTTTATGAATAGAAAGTTCAAAAGAACAGCATTTATTATACTGTATATGTATTTACTGTCACTTTTGATCATTTAATGCAGCCTCATTGAATAAAATTTCTGCTTTGTATTCTACTTTGTGAACTAGTGTAGAATTTCAATAGATAAACGCTTGAGCCACTTGTTTTGCTTTTATTTATATATATATATATATATATATATTCCAAAATATTAGTTATTTCCAATGTAAGACTGCTTAAAGTTCATTAATTGCAATACTCAGGAGAACTTCACTATTACACATAAATGTACATCTGTATTTTTCACCTTGCTTTACAGAGTCTGAATTTCACTTTGCTGAAATTTCTCAAAACTGTAATTGGGAAAAGGGTAATTCACATGCTCTAAACACCTGTCCAAATACCAAATAGTAAGAGTGATGTATATTCAATGCCTGTTTTGCATAGAATTGTGTTAGTAGCAGCATTTAAAATAGCCAAAAAGACAGAGTTCCTGATTTTTCATTGCCTGTGACATGAGTCTGTGTGTTTATGCTGGTGCTGGTGAATGGCTCAGTCTTCATAAATACTGTCATACTTCTGTAATGTCCAGAATCCCATACAGCATTATAAGGAGTGTACAGACTTTACATAGACATCTTTTAACAGTGTATTTCTAAATCATACACTACCGCTATACATTACCGCAAACACTAATATCAACTCCTCTCTTTGTAAAACAGTTTGTATCAAAGTAGTACAGTAGTATGCCACCCTACCAGACAAATGGGTTGAGGGTTTAAAGCAGATATTAGACACTGTTAGTTTGTTCTTGTGGGAATACTTCTAGGTGGAGGAACATTTGGTTATGCATTACTGTCATTTGTTTGTCGAACTCAACAGTATGTAAACGGTGCTATACAGATTACGTGTCCCTTCCACACACCTGTATCTGTGCATGTGCCCAACTTTATTTTTTTTAACTGATCAAGTTGGGATATGACTTCTGCGGATATGATTGGTAAATTATCATATTCTGATAAGGCACTATTCTCTGTGCAACTGCTTTAGAACAATAGTCAAATTAACTAAAAAAAAATTCTTGTGTGTAGAATTTTTTTACATTTTATTTTATACATTATTTTATACACTGCAAATATTTTCCATATTGCAATAATTCTTAAGTACATTGTGACAATATTAAAGCCAGAATAACGCATTGTAAATGGATCTTTAATCATTTTAGTTGACAATAACAGCACCGATCTACTAGTAAGCTTCAATAATTAGTCTGGTTTAGTCTCCAGCCTTTAAGCTCAAAACCTCCCAGAATTTTCCTAATGAGCTTTAAAAGATGCTGTTCAAAGAAAGTAGGACACGCATATTTATAAAAAAGAAAAAAAAAAGAAAAAGATTATTGTGATGAGATGTGGACATTGTGTTTGTAGTGAAGAATGCTTCTGCTCAAGGTCTGGCTTTTTTGGGGAGGTTATTTTGATGTGGAGTGCATTTTGATGGCTTTGCTGTCCTCTAGCTTTAGATAAGGTGAAGGGAAGCTTCGTGTGGCGGTTAATAAAGTCTATGTACAGTATTTAGTTTGGATGCTTTTGTAATAATCCTAAAACACACACACACACACCCTCTATATCCACTTCTTTATAGATAAACGCTTGAGCCACTTGTTTTGCTTTTATTTATATATATATATATATATATATATTCCAAAATATTAGTTATTTCCAATGTAAGACTGCTTAAAGTTCATTAATTGCAATACTCAGGAGAACTTCACTATTACACATAAATGTACATCTGTATTTTTCACCTTGCTTTACAGAGTCTGAATTTCACTTTGCTGAAATTTCTCAAAACTGTAATTGGGAAAAGGGTAATTCACATGCTCTAAACACCTGTCCAAATACCAAATAGTAAGAGTGATGTATATTCAATGCCTGTTTTGCATAGAATTGTGTTAGTAGCAGCATTTAAAATAGCCAAAAAGACAGAGTTCCTGATTTTTCATTGCCTGTGACATGAGTCTGTGTGTTTATGCTGGTGCTGGTGAATGGCTCAGTCTTCATAAATACTGTCATACTTCTGTAATGTCCAGAATCCCATACAGCATTATAAGGAGTGTACAGACTTTACATAGACATCTTTTAACAGTGTATTTCTAAATCATACACTACCGCTATACATTACCGCAAACACTAATATCAACTCCTCTCTTTGTAAAACAGTTTGTATCAAAGTAGTACAGTAGTATGCCACCCTACCAGACAAATGGGTTGAGGGTTTAAAGCAGATATTAGACACTGTTAGTTTGTTCTTGTGGGAATACTTCTAGGTGGAGGAACATTTGGTTATGCATTACTGTCATTTGTTTGTCGAACTCAACAGTATGTAAACGGTGCTATACAGATTACGTGTCCCTTCCACACACCTGTATCTGTGCATGTGCCCAACTTTATTTTTTTTAACTGATCAAGTTGGGATATGACTTCTGCGGATATGATTGGTAAATTATCATATTCTGATAAGGCACTATTCTCTGTGCAACTGCTTTAGAACAATAGTCAAATTAACTAAAAAAAAATTCTTGTGTGTAGAATTTTTTTACATTTTATTTTATACATTATTTTATACACTGCAAATATTTTCCATATTGCAATAATTCTTAAGTACATTGTGACAATATTAAAGCCAGAATAACGCATTGTAAATGGATCTTTAATCATTTTAGTTGACAATAACAGCACCGATCTACTAGTAAGCTTCAATAATTAGTCTGGTTTAGTCTCCAGCCTTTAAGCTCAAAACCTCCCAGAATTTTCCTAATGAGCTTTAAAAGATGCTGTTCAAAGAAAGTAGGACACGCATATTTATAAAAAAGAAAAAAAAAAGAAAAAGATTATTGTGATGAGATGTGGACATTGTGTTTGTAGTGAAGAATGCTTCTGCTCAAGGTCTGGCTTTTTTGGGGAGGTTATTTTGATGTGGAGTGCATTTTGATGGCTTTGCTGTCCTCTAGCTTTAGATAAGGTGAAGGGAAGCTTCGTGTGGCGGTTAATAAAGTCTATGTACAGTATTTAGTTTGGATGCTTTTGTAATAATCCTAAAACACACACACACACACCCTCTATATCCACTTCTTTATTCCCACATGTGCACACATGCATATACACACTAAAAACAAGTTCATACTCTCTCCCTATGCTCAGCCCCCCCCCCCCTTTTCTCTCTCTCGCTCATTAGCGCTCTCATTAACACACTCTGATCTACTATAGGTTACTCTCTCTCTTTAACATACCCGCTCATATGCCTTGAGGTGCATGGCTGCCTCTTTTTGCACTCCTTGCTGAACAACCAAAATGATCAACACCGACAGGTCTGTTTCTGTGTGTGCTGACCTGTCAGTATCTCTGTACAGCATAATGCATGGCATGTTGTTGTAGGTACTGAATGAGCGGTGGTAAATACTAATTTTTCATCCATTAATGAAATTAACTTGCATTGCCCAAAGATACTAAGCATTTCAGAGAAACTGTAGGCGTTTTAATACTCAAAGACTAGAGTTCTGCCCGGCTTTTAACCCGCATGTTGTGAAGTTAGAATTAGTAGTGCTGCTGTGGATCATAAAGAAACCGTCTGAATCTTGTGTTCAATGCTTTGGAAGTGTGAATGTGTGCGATTCAAAGGTGAATCTCACAAAGAAATGTCCAGTTCATGTTTCAGCCCCAATACAGTGAATAAATGTCATCCTTTATGGACACATTTAATTAAAAAAATTCAGTGAGATTCTGCAATAATACTGTCAGTTGCATGACTGGATTCTGTGATTTTTGTTTGCATTTTCCACATTTTTAAAATCACAGAGGCCTAGGATAGATAATCATTAACTTCTCAATACAGATGTTGATGTTTATTTATACTAGTTATATTAGAATGCACTTTGTCAAAATATATGTACTTTAGTGTATACAGTACAACTGTATATGAAATAGTATCATCTTTCAGTTTTTGGCTTGAGCTGCTGAATTAATAATAATAATAATAATAATAAACAAATATAATAGTGTCATTATACTACTGAATGAGCTCTTCATTGTTCAATACATTAATTGCAGCTCACAATCCAAAGCTGTTTGTTGACATTAAATTCAGGGTGCATTTAATGAAACAATTAGACTAGCGTTATTAACACCAATATTATATGATCATGCTGTTAACCCACTTTTCTTTTCTTTTGTTTTTTTTATTTGAACCCCCAAATGCCTCACACCCCAACTCTCTCATTAATTTTCAAACCACCTTTCTTTTGTCTTCATTTTCTCTCTCTCATTCTTTCTCCTTTTCCATTCATTTACTAACCACTTCATGTTCTTTTATATATATTGTCCGCTTTGCTGTTACCATTATTTAACATTTTATCATGCTATTTGCTGGTGATTTTTGTTATGTCCACCTTGTTTCTGGTTATCCATGGCATCCTCACGTTTACTCCATCGTCACTAACTCACACATGCTTGTTTTTTTCTCTCTCTCTCTCCCTGTCTGTCGTTTTTTCTTTTTCTTGTTTTTATCATTTATATCTACCCTTTCCCTCTCTGGATTGTCTTTTCACTTTGTTACTTTAATTTCTCCTCCACCCCCTGACATCCATGCTGGCCTTCTTTTGTGTTTCTTCTCTTTTCTGTTGACCCTGTCCCCCTCCCTCTCCACCTGCCCTTCTTCTCTGGGTTGGGTTGGACGTGTTGTGTATTTGGCTGTCAGGTTTCTATGGGCTGGAAGAGTCTGATCTGGATAAAGTGTTCCGCTTGCCCACCACCACCTTTATCGGGGGCAATGAGAGCGCTCTGCCCCTCAGGGAGATCATCCGCCGCTTGGAGGTGAGTGAGAACACGAGGATTATTTCAGTCTCAGGTCTGTGTGAATGTTTCTGTCACACAGGAAGACTACCATAATGCAGTGGTTCTCAAACAGGGGCCTGGAGCCCACTAGGGGGCCCCAGCAAACTACTGGGGGGGGCCCTCAAGATTTTAAATAAGGAGAAAACAATTAAAAAGATACTTCCTCTTTTTTTTTTTTTTTAAACACGTCCTGCAGTTTAGCAACAGTTAGGGCTGTCAAAATGGCTGAAAAACTAAATTCGAATTTTGTACTTGAATATCAAAATTCGAATGATATTCGAATTTAAAATGCACAATTTCAGTTAGGGGGAAAAAAAGCTTTTGGCTTCTCTCCTGAGGCCACAAGAGGGTGCATCGATCAAAATATTACTAATGCACGTTTATTCAAAGCATAAGAAAACATGACTATCTGTGAAAAAAGTGCATAATGTTTAAAATAATGTTTATAAACCAATTATAATTAAGTTGCTTAAACAACTATAAACAAAACCGATAGAGAACTGTCCCCCTCCCTCTCCACCTGCCCTTCTTCTCTGGGTTGGGTTGGACGTGTTGTGTATTTGGCTGTCAGGTTTCTATGGGCTGGAAGAGTCTGATCTGGATAAAGTGTTCCGCTTGCCCACCACCACCTTTATCGGGGGCAATGAGAGCGCTCTGCCCCTCAGGGAGATCATCCGCCGCTTGGAGGTGAGTGAGAACACGAGGATTATTTCAGTCTCAGGTCTGTGTGAATGTTTCTGTCACACAGGAAGACTACCATAATGCAGTGGTTCTCAAACAGGGGCCTGGAGCCCACTAGGGGGCCCCAGCAAACTACTGGGGGGGGCCCTCAAGATTTTAAATAAGGAGAAAACAATTAAAAATACTTTCTCTTTTTTTTTTTTTTTTAAACACGTCCTGCAGTTTAGCAACAGTTAGGGCTGTCAAAATGGCTGAAAAACTAAATTCGAATTTTGTACTTGAATATTATCAAAATTCGAATGATATTCGAATTTAAAATGCACAATTTCAGTTAGGGGGGAAAAAAGCTTTTGGCTTCTCTCCTGAGGCCACAAGAGGGTGCATCGATCAAAATATTACTAATGCACGTTTATTCAAAGCATAAGAAAACATGACTATCTGTGAAAAAAGTGCATAATGTTTAAAATAATGTTTATAAATTATAATTAAGTTGCTTAAACAACTGTAAACAAAACCGATAGAGAAAACAGCATCATGTATGCATGCATAGTTTAATACAAAGGGCGGAAAGCCAATCACACGGTTTACATTTTTCATTTAAAAGCACGAGTTGCAGTGGGATGGGGAAAAAACCCACCATAAAGTCTCGAGATGTGTTTTTTTTAAAGTTGAACTTACATTAATTTTACATGGCTTTCTAAAAATGTGGCTGCTTTTGTGCGAGACGCGAGTGCAACGTTGATTATGTCCCTCTAGAAAATGTGCGAAATATGCTTTCTGTGTGAACGGCTTGGTTTCAGTTTTGACATAAGATCTTCCCCGCATTGATGTTCTCTTGATGTTCTCTTTTCCCGCAATATTTGTACATAACACAGCAGCGCTGCATCTAGTGGCTTCAACTGGATAGGCTAACAAAAACATTAAAATGTAATGACACTTACATCGTCATCGCATCTCGTGCGCAACTGATAAGGCTGCCTCCTTAACGCACACCTTTTTGCATTCGAATGTGGTTTTTTTATTTTAAATTCGACGAATATTCGAAATTAAAAAAATTTTTTACAGCCCAAGCAACAGTATACTGCATTTTATGAAAATTACTGATTTTAACTGATTTGAATGTTAAGATTGGGTTTTTAGGGAAAGCGTAGGAATGTGCGCTAAATGGAATGCGGCACAATAATAGTTTTACTATTAATAGAGATCTTCTGGATTGCAAATAGTGAAAATGCATCATAACTCGGGGTGAAACAGTACACATATTATTCGTACCAAAAATGTTCGGCACGACATATCACCATATACTAACACCTCAGTTCTGATGTGAGCGTGATCACCCCTTCATCTTTATTACTAGTTTTAACACAAAATATACATGAATGAACATCTCACCCCTCATGTAATCGCTCAATCAGTGTTTTCAACCACGGAAAGGCGTCATTAAAACAGCTTGTAAACAAAATGTCATGTAGCATTTACTTTACCTCAGGCAAGTCATCAGTGTCTACAGCTCGTTATTTGTAAGAGAAATTAAGTCTAGAGAAGAGCATTCTGCTAAATATTAGACCATACTTCATTATATTTACTTTACCTGTTAGTGATGTCTTAATTATTTAATGTATATGTTTAAATAAATATTTTATGAAACAAGTTGACTCTGTAAATTATTATATTTCAACAACAAATAGAAATTGTATAATTTAGATCCGCAGCGGTACCTACCCGAACCAGTCTAATAGTCCGAATATAAACACTTATTATAGGTGTACCGTAGTGATTCAGGACAAGCCAAAAACACGCTTTGGAAAATGGATTCATGGTGTACTCGCTTATTATATACATTTTGTAAATTTTGAACACACAAAAGTTACGGACTGCAGCTTTAATTGTAACCTTATATTAAAGAAAGGGTTCCCTATAGTTTAGAGCAGAAGCTGAGGTAGATTTTTATCCCTAAGAAAATTAATTATAATTTAATTTATTTAAAGGAAGAGCAATTTGTTCAGTAAACCATTAAATTAAAAAAAAGCAATTTATGTTTAGTTTTTTTAATCCTGCTGTACCAAAACCATACTGAACCGTGATGTCAAAGCCGAGGTACGTACAGAACCATCATGTTTGTGTTCCGTTACACCCCTAATCATACCTGAATATTTCAATATTATTGCATGTAGAAACGGATGGCGAGATCTTTATTCTATATAAATATTAAATATAATTAATAGTTTAGTATTTTCTTAATTTCTCCAGTACCGAAAGCAGAACCGATAACATCCGAGCTTATTGATACTACGGTCTTTCATAATTTGGCCCTGGGGCCCATTTAATACTGGGTTTTGGTACCCATCCGTAGGGCCTTCCAATATTATTGTGATCGGTGGGTGGTTTTGTAGTCAAAAAGGCATTGTGCAATACATCTCATCTTGCATCTAGTGGCTTCAACTGGATAGGCTAACAAAAACATTAAAATGTAATGACACTTACATCGTCATCGCATCTCGTGCGCAACTGATAAGGCTGCCTCCTTAACGCACACCTTTTTGCATTCGAATGTGGTTTTTTATTTTAAATTCGACTAATATTAAAATTTAAAAAAATTTGGACAGCCCAAGCAACAGTATACTGCATTTTATGAAAATTACTGATTTTAACTGATTTGAATGTTAAGATTGGGTTTTTAGAGAAAGCGTAGGAATGTGCGCTAAATGGAATGCGGCACAATAATAGTTTTACTATTAATAGAGATCTTCTGGATTGCAAATAGTGAAAATGCATCATAACTCGGGGTGAAACAGTACACATATTATTCGTACCAAAAATGTTCGGCGCGACATATCACCATATACTAACACCTCAGTTCTGATGTGAGCGTGATCACCCCTTCATCTTTATTACTAGTTTTAACACAAAATATACATGAATGAACATCTCACCCCTCATGTAATCGCTCAATCAGTGTTTTCAACCACGGAAAGGCGTCATTAAAACAGCTTGTAAACAAAATGTCATGTAGCATTTACTTTACCTCAGGCAAGTCATCAGTGTCTACAGCTCGTTATTTGTAAGAGAAATTAAGTCTAGAGAAGAGCATTCTGCTAAATATTAGACCATACTTCATTATATTTACTTTACCTGTTAGTGATGTCTTAATTATTTAATGTATATGTTTAAATAAATATTTTATGAAACAAGTTGACTCTGTAAATTATTATATTTCAACAACAAATAGAAATTGTATAATTTAGATCCGCAGCGGTACCTACCCGAACCAGTCTAATAGTCCGAATATAAACACTTATTATAGGTGTACCGTAGTGATTCAGGACAAGCCAAAAACACGCTTTGGAAAATGGATTCATGGTGTACTCGCTTATTATATACATTTTGTAAATTTTGAACACACAAAAGTTACGGACTGCAGCTTTAATTGTAACCTTATATTAAAGAAAGGGTTCCCTATAGTTTAGAGCAGAAGCTGAGGTAGATTTTTATCCCTAAGAAAATTAATTATAATTTAATTTATTTAAAGGAAGAGCAATTTGTTCAGTAAACCATTAAATTAAAAAAAAGCAATTTATGTTTAGTTTTTTTAATCCTGCTGTACCAAAACCATACTGAACCGTGATGTCAAAGCCGAGGTACGTACAGAACCATCATGTTTGTGTTCCGTTACACCCCTAATCATACCTGAATATTTCAATATTATTGCATGTAGAAACGGATGGCGAGATCTTTATTCTATATAAATATTAAATATAATTAATAGTTTAGTATTTTCTTAATTTCTCCAGTACCGAAAGCAGAACCGATAACATCCGAGCTTATTGAAACTACGGTCTTTCATAATTTGGCCCTGGGGCCCATTTAATACTGGGTTTTGGTACCCATCCGTAGAGCCTTCCAATATTGTTGTGATCAGTGGGTGGTTTTGTAGTCAAAAAGGCATTGTGCAATAAATCTCATCTTTGTTCTTTGTTTTAATTCAGGTGATTGTCTTAACCAGCCATGGCTGCGTTTACCAAAATCATTGTAAGCCTAAGTTGATCTTAGCTCCATTGGTGGCTATGGGTCTACGATATATTTAAGCTTACGATGCTTATAGGAAACACAGCCCATGACAGTATCATTTGCATTATTTATTATGTTAGGTAGTATTGATCCAAAGTCTGTAGCCACATAGCTTCACCAAAAATATTAAATGCAGTTGCCCCAAAACTTTTTTACTGCTACACGAAATAGACACTCTTGTACACCTCTGTGATGCTTAAAAAATGTTTGAATGTCATTGCATTACATAATGAAACAACCCAGCTTTTTTTCCTCCGAACCAACTTCGTTTCTGAGCTTTTTTTCTCATAAATTGAATTTATGAGTCTGTTCTCCTCAAGTTCACACATGTCCTTTCAGAGCAACCACTGACGTACTTCACATTAATTATGAACACGGTTCACTAATTTTTGACAACATGTTTCACATTACTGTTTTATTATTTGAAGAGTTTAATGAATTGAAGCATGACAAAAGTCTTTTGGTTAAATGGTAGGGTACTGTTCTAGGTGTGATTTTTGATACTTCATGCAGTATTTTCTTGGGTGCTGAAATGTTGTGCTTCTCAGATGGCGTATTGCCAGCATATAGGGGTTGAGTTCATGTTCATCAATGACCTGGACCAGTGTCAATGGATCAGACAGAAGTTTGAGAGGCCTGGAGTCATGCAGTTCAGTCTGGAGGAGAAGAGAACACTGCTGGCTCGCATGGTCCGCTCCACCAGGTACACACACACAAAGGCCAAATGCGAGAGTACACATAGGAATACATGCATTAAACCTTTTTTTACAAATTCTGAACATTTGTGTCTGTCTGAACAGGCACATTACCAGCCGTTTGTCCAAATTAAAGTCTATTTCACACTGTACATTTGCCTTTTTATTACTGTTGTAATGCATTTCCCAACACTGGATGTTTAAATTGATATTTTGTTCTTGAAACCCAGGTTTTACGGTTTTTCCTGCAGCTCTGTAATATATGTGTGCTGATTTCTGTAGGTTTGAGGAGTTCCTGCAGAGGAAATGGTCATCTGAGAAGCGCTTTGGGCTGGAGGGCTGTGAGAGTTTGATCCCTGCGCTCAAAACCATTATTGATAAATCCAGCGAGAAGGGAGTAGACACGGTCATCATGGGAATGCCTCACAGGTAGAAGAGGGGATTCAAATGTGGAAACCTGACATTACAGTGACGTATGTGCCATTACGATGATTCTTGGTATCTCTTTCTGTCTGTCTCTGTAGAGGGCGTCTGAACGTGCTTGCCAATGTAATCCGTAAGGAGCTGGAGCAAATTTTCTGTCAGTTTGACTCTAAACTAGAATCTGCCGATGAGGTCAGTGAGGTTTTGTGTCTTGTGCACGGTTTTGGATCCTTGGGATCTTACTCATCAGAACAAACATAAGAACCACTACAGTTGATGAAATATGTCTGTACCTCTACAGGGTTCAGGAGATGTCAAGTACCACTTGGGCATGTACCACAGGAGGATAAATCGTGTGACTGACAGGAATATTACTTTGTCATTGGTGGCCAACCCTTCCCATCTGGAAGCGGTGAACCCGGTGGTGCAGGGCAAGACTAAAGCAGAGCAGTTCTACTGCGGAGACACAGATGGCAATCGGGTGAGACATAAAGAGCATCAATCTAGGGCTGGGTTGACATTATTATTATACACATTACCATTCAAAAGTTTGGGGTTTTTAAGATTTTTTTTTTTTTTTTAAGTCTCTTCTGCTCATAAAAAAAGCTGTATTTATTGGATCAGTAATACAGTAAATATTGTAATAATGTAACAGTAAAATTGTAAAATATTATTAGAATTTGCAATAATGTTTTGTATTTTAATATATATTTATAATGTATTTCTTTGATGGCAAATTTTCAGTATCATTTCTCCAGTCAAATGATCCTTCAGAAATCATTCTAATATGCTGTTTGCTCAAGAAACATTTATTTATTGTTATTATCAATTGTGCTGCTTAATATTTTTTTGTTGAAACCATGATACTTTTTTTCAGAATCCTTTAGTGAATATAAAGTTCAAAAGAACATCATTTCTTTTCAAATATAAATCTTTTGTAGCATTATGAATGTCTTCACTGTCACTTTCGATCAATTTAATGCATCACTGCTAGTGGTTAAACGGATTGTAGTTCATCCGTACGGACCAAGCCCCACGGTTCGGCACGCATGTGATCCGCAGATTAATTGCAAAATTTAACCATAATAGATAACATAATAGAGTATAAGTTTATCATTTGTTCGTATTTACACAAGCAAGCAAATTTTAAACAATTCCAGAGAGAAAAGGCGAAAGGGAACTCGATTCGTTACTCGCGCACTGTTCTCTACGCGCACAGCCGCACACACATGAAACGCGCACACACGAGAAAGAAATCAAATGTGAAGTGTATCATTATATCCGATCCGTGCATCAGGTCTTAAAGGGACAGCGGCATATAAATACTGCTGCTGTCATTAATGATCATCAAACAACAAAACAGCTGTGATAAAAATCTATATTTAATTTATACAGTGAACACTACGCAGTGTTATTTTCCCTAATTGTTACATTTCTGTATTTGAATACTACCAATATATTTACTACTATAATACTACCAATTATATTTATCTATGCTTGTAATTTGTGTATTCTTATTTTTACTGGCTGTTCTCTTGTGTCTTTAATCATGTTTAAACTTTCTTAGTTAATCTAGTAGTATTTGCTGTGGTATCAAAGAAGTACTTTGCTTTAAGGTAATAAATAGAAAGCAAGTTAAATTGAAATATTTTTATTTTCTTGCTGATCCGAAAAATTATCCGATCCGTGGTCAAAAACCGTAATGTGATCCGAATCTTGAAATTTGTGATCCGTTGAACCACTAATCACTGCTGAATAAAACTTTTCTTGAAAAGTTCAAGAAAAAAAATCACTGACCCCAAACTTTTTAATGGTATCATTTTCCTCACAATGTTGCATTAATACTTTGGTCCTTGTATAGAAATAGGTTACATTCATATAGTGTTCTACAGTTAAGTTAATGAAGCAGGTTGTCTAAATAAGCTTTACAAATAATCTTTTACATCTAACACTCACTTAAAATTAATCTTTAAATACACTAAAATGTATAATACTAATAGCATACTTGTAACTTTGTGATTAGCAATTTTTCATTCTATACATTATATAGTATGTAGCATTTAAAGGGTCATGAAACCCCAGACTACTTTTTCTGAGATTTTAACAGAGGTGTTTGTGTTGCACATCATATTAGCATCTGATAATTTTAACTGTTGGAGAAAACTGGTTAATTTTAAGCTTTTTTGCGCTATTTTCATCTTCCGGGTTTAAAATCGACATTGTGTTGATATCACAATTTGTGACGAGGCAATGGACTATAGTACAACGATGACAGGTCAATGTCTATTAAATTATTCATGAGACTGCGTGTTCTTATCCAATGAGAAGATGCTTCGCTTAATTATTCACAACAGCATGTGTTGATTTGCTATGATTTGCTACATTTCAGACTGTGAGACCGCGTTCATTAACTGAGAGAAACATTCATGGTTCGAAGAAGAGTGTTTGTTTTTGCTTTGTAATAAGAGTTTCCTTATGGACTTAATGATTTATTGATTTAATATAATATAATAATGATTTCTTAGTCATAACATGACCAGTGAAATTTGCTTATAAATGTTTGTGATAATTTAATATGGTGCACCCCTAGTACCTTTAAGATGCATTTTAAATGGCTCTGTTATAATGAACTCAGAACCTGTTTTTAATTATATACCCCTCGTAGAACCAAAAGCTTTTAAATGTTCTTGTGCGTGTTTTTGTTTCAGGTGATGTCCATTCTGCTCCATGGTGACGCTGCATTTGCAGGTCAGGGCATCGTCTATGAAACCTTCCATCTGAGAAGATGCTTCGCTTAATTATTCACAACAGCATGTGTTGATTTGCTATGATTTGCTACATTTCAGACTGTGAGACCGCGTTCATTAACTGAGAGAAACATTCATGGTTCGAAGAAGAGTGTTTGTTTTTGCTTTGTAATAAGAGTTTCCTTATGGACTTAATGATTTATTGATTTAATATAATATAATAATGATTTCTTAGTCATAACATGACCAGTGAAATTTGCTTATAAATGTTTGTGATAATTTAATATGGTGCACCCCTAGTACCTTTAAGATGCATTTTAAATGGCTCTGTTATAATGAACTCAGAACCTGTTTTTAATTATATACCCCTCGTAGAACCAAAAGCTTTTAAATGTTCTTGTGCGTGTTTTTGTTTCAGGTGATGTCCATTCTGCTCCATGGTGACAAGATGCTTCGCTTAATTATTCACAACAGCATGTGTTGATTTGCTATGATTTGCTACATTTCAGACTGTGAGACCGCGTTCATTAACTGAGAGAAACATTCATGGTTCGAAGAAGAGTGTTTGTTTTTGCTTTGTAATAAGAGTTTCCTTATGGACTTAATGATTTATTGATTTAATAATATAATATAATAATGATTTCTTAGTCATAACATGACCAGTGAAATTTGCTTATAAATGTTTGTGAGAATTTAATATGGTGCACCCCTAGTACCTTTAAGATGCATTTTAAATGGCTCTGTTATAATGAACTCAGAACCTGTTTTTAATTATATACCCCTCGTAGAACCAAAAGCTTTTAAATGTTCTTGTGCGTGTTTTTGTTTCAGGTGATGTCCATTCTGCTCCATGGTGACGCTGCATTTGCAGGTCAGGGCATCGTCTATGAAACCTTCCATCTGAGTGATCTGCCCTCCTACACCACACATGGCACTGTGCATGTGGTGGCCAACAACCAGGTACACGTGCACAAACAAACCCATGTGTAACAGTACATGGTAACACACCCAATCAGACGTCCTCTTAATACCCCTCTGCATCTCTTTCTCAGATCGGTTTCACCACAGATCCTCGTATGGCACGCTCTTCTCCGTATCCCACTGATGTTGCCCGTGTGGTCAATGCCCCCATATTCCACGTCAACGCAGATGATCCTGAAGCTGTAATGTATGTGTGCACCGTGGCCGCAGAGTGGAGAGCCACCTTCCACAAAGATGTGGTGGTGGACCTGGTGAGTGGTGGTGTTTTGTGTCTTTTATAAACACTTTATTCTTACTTATTGTTATAGTTCATGACATCAGTCAGGCATATGACATCTTTCCTTTAGGTTTGTTACCGCCGTAATGGCCACAACGAGATGGATGAGCCAATGTTCACCCAGCCGCTGATGTACAAACAGATCAAGAAGCAGAAAGGAGTTCTGCAGAAATATGCTGAGAAGCTCATTGCCGAAGGCGCTGTCTCACGACAGGAGTATGAGGTCAGACAGTCCTGCCCAGAGCCAATCAGCTGCCTCTTATCTTCAGCTAGTCTTTCTGAAAGGTTTTCATGTGTTTCTTGACTCTGTCCACAGGAAGAGATTTCTAAGTATGACAAAATCTGTGAAGAAGCTCATGCTCGCTCAAAGGATGAGAAGATCCTCCACATCAAGCACTGGCTGGACTCCCCCTGGCCAGGTGTGTGTGAACATGGATATTATTGAATTACATCCTTGAATTATGACCAAGTTTGTTGAAATACTGTCAGACTCAGAAGGTATGTCCACAGGATTCTTAATTGAATATTTCATAAATGGCCTTAATGTTGCAACGAAATGGAACTAGTAACTAGAGATGCACCGATTGTAATTTTCTTGGCCATTTCCAACCGACGATTTGTGCTAATCCCGATTTTCTTTCTAAGAACTGTAGTTGACAGCATATACTTTTTTCGAAATTTTATTTTCAAAATATATATTTTTTTAAACATTACAATTTCCCCAAACTGCACAAAGTTACAGGATGTTCTCTCAATTAAACAACTCTCAAAATAAAGTGCTCGGTGTCTGCCCTGTGAAAGAGGAAAAAATAACAATTCAGAGAACATGAGTTGCTGTATATAACAAAACAGATGACATTTTCCTCTGTTTACAAATGGGCAGTTTTTTGCTAACCTTATTAAATGTGTCATCTTTCATGTCAAATTCTTAAATTTGATGAATTCATTCAGAAATAACTAGAGTTTCTACCATTCAAATGAAATTAGTATCAACACACTCCATCTTTCCACCTCAGGAAACACAGGAGCTGCATCTGAAGTAGCATTAGATGTTTACACAGACAGTTTAATGAAGCTGAGATAAACGCATTTACAGTACACTGCAATATTGCAAAAGCGTAATTAATATTATACGATTTATGTTTTAAATAATTTTTAAATGTGAAACCAAGTCACCAGTAGGGGGCATCAAATTACCATTTTAATGAGTCAATTATTTAGTCATTCATTCAAACGATTCATTCCAATGGCTGATTCATTCAGAGACCAGGCAAGTGACTGGCCGTTTCTCACTATGCGTTCTTATGCGATCTTGCGTCCTTGTGTTCGCACTCTACGTCATCATTAACCGTAGTAGTTCAATTCCAATACTCGAGAACGCAAGAACAGAGGACACATGAAAGTGCCTGGATGTGTTCTTGATATTGAGGATGCATCGAATGCAGACTTGAGATAATTGAACCGTTAGAAATCCCAGAAGACGCTGCGGACAAACGACGTACGGAAGCTTTAAACTTCTCGTTCTCGCTTAAGAGATACCCGCTGCAAGCATGCAAATACATGAAGGCTGGTGAATGTAAATGTTTTGTTTTGCATAATTTTAATAAAGTGAGAAAGCCTGTCGTACTTTTTATTGGCATATTAAAAAGAATATGGAACATTATACATAGGTAGCCTAATCATTTTCACACATACATGCGGTAAAAAATTATAAAATAATATGAAAATATTGTCTATAGTAAAATTCAATGTTTTAAAAGCATTATGGCATTTGTTTGTGATGTTATTGTGCATTGCGTGCTGCTGTCTCTGTCAATTGAACAGCAAGAACACAGCGCATCTCAATTCTCACAAAGATGGATTCTCACGTCCTTCCAAGTTCGTTCTTTCAAGGAAGACTGGCAAGACCGGTCTCCACGAGAACACAAGTCCGTTCTTTGCGTTCTTGGAATTGAGAAACAGCCACTGTCTTTATGAATGGGTCACTGAATCATTGACTCACTCGATTCATTCAAAAACGTGGATTCATTCAGTAACAAAACACTGCTGTGGTGCTCAGAGACACAGCAGTTCTGCTGTGGCTTTGATTAAGAACTATTTTTGTCAGCACAATTGAGCAAAAACTGTCAATATTGTTTCCCTGAAAGTCCAGTGTAAGTCACTTAATATTGAATTTTAGTTTTTTTGAACTACTGTTGTATAAAATCAATGTCACATTACAGTTGTGCTGATATTTGGGAAAACATCTTGGTTGTGTGATGTTGCATACCTCGTAACAGTAACAGATTTTTTTTCTTCCATACTGTGATGTACATTGAATTATTGAAAAAGAATAAAAGTAGGACAGAAACTTCTGTTCATCAGTTGTTGATTGGATTTTAAGATGTAGGCATTGCACTCAAAAGTGGAGACATATGACCTTGAACTTAACAGGGGGGAAGTTTATTAAACTTAGTGATTTATTAAACTGGGAAAATGCTTCTCTCTAAACTTTGTTGGAAATAATGTCTTTCTTTAAATGTTTTGTTCCAGTTGTATCTTCCGGTGACCATCTGGAAGTGGGTGGTTCAGAATGAGTTGCAATATGTGCCAGACTTAATGCTGTGAAGTCAAAACATTTGACTAAGCAAGACTAATTAAAAAATGTACAGCATTTTGCTGCTGCGTCATGTGTTTCTAGATCTTACAGCACAGTCATTGGGCCTCATTTACGAAACGAACGTACGACAGAAAATTGAGCGTACGGTCGTTTCAACGCAAAACTTGGAATTTATCAATATGGACGTGAGCGGTGGCTACGATCAAATCTCACGTCTGGTCTCAGCTCGTGTACGCAAGTTTTTGAGTTACCTGAAGTTGCGCACAGCATAGTAAATACGGTGGAAAATTGTAGATTGACAGCATTTTGTTCATTTTTATATTCCTGACCGTCAAACGAAGCTCATTAGTCGATCGTTAATCAGTAAGATTAGAATGTCTTTTTTTGGTGTTGTTTTGTACAGGGCTTTAGCTTTATATGCGCGAATAGCAGCATAAACGACCATGAGGATTCAATCGTCGCATCATGCACCTGCAGTGCTTCTGTGAAAGGAGAAAAACAGAAATTAAGTTTATAAAAGGAATCAATATAATAGGCTATAATATAATTAAAAGATTAACAAAAGGGGGGAAAAACACTGTGCAACAAGTATAGGTTGTGCTCGTTTTTGTGACACTCTTAATGCATTTAATTTCTTTTCTTTATATCTTTATTTGATTTAATCCATCTGATCGCACAGGCGCCTCACATACACACAGACAACATTAGTTCTAGCGTTGCCTGACATTTCAGCCATTCATCATCAAACTAAAATGCAGTCAACCAAACATAAAAGTTACACTGTTTATTTTAAAAGGTCCTCTGTAAAATCAGCGTGCAGCGCCCAAACAATAAACATTTTTGCACATGTGAAGGATTTTACACGGATATTAGAACATGAGTGAAGTAAAAAGCCATGTTTAGGCTACATAATGAATAATAGTTATGAAAACAAATGTTACAAATATGGCAAAAATGGAAACATTTGGATTCTTGTGGTATGAGACAGGCGCGTGAGCCCAATGCCGTTTCAGTTTGGCTTGACATTTGTATGCTGTTTATACTGAATGCCACTATAGCCTAATTTGTGTTTTATTTTACAGTTAAAAATATAATTTTATAACTACTTATTTTTCATTCTTGTTCTGTTCTGAATACCGTTAAATTTAAAATATTTGTTGTAGAGTGAGGGGAACTAAATAGGCTGTTTATATTTACCAGTATTTTAATATACATATAAATTACATATTAATGTAGCCTAATTGTTCGCAATTACAAGGTTAACGGGTGTTTTTGGAGTAAGATCAATTTCTCTTTAGCGAGATTACTTCCTCTTTTTGGCCGGGTTTCGTTTCTCCGTGTCGTAAACTCTAGGGCGAGGCTTCTAAACCAGGGTGTTTTTAGGGGCGTGATATTCAAATGGCGGTTGTTTTCTGGCGCCACATTTATCAACATGCGATCATTCGTACGATGAGATCGCCGGCATACGAATGTTTCATAAATCACACGTGAACTCTGTCGTAAGTTGATTTGTGCGCACAGATCTGCGCTCGTTTCTACGTTAGATTGATAAATGAGGCCCATTGTGTTTGGTGTGCAGGTTTTTTCACTCTGGATGGTCAGCCCAAGAGTATGAGCTGCCCATCCACCGGTCTGCCAGAGGAGGAGCTGACCCACATCGGACAAGTGGCGTCATCAGTACCCGTGGAGGACTTCACAATTCATGGAGGTGCGCTAGACCTAAAAAAAATAGTACATAAATATGCACACATTTCATGCATTCTGTTAATATAATACTTGTCTTCCCTTCACGTACAGGTCTAAGTCGTATTCTGAAGAGCCGTGGTGACATGATCAAGAACAGGACAGTGGACTGGGCTCTGGGAGAGTACATGGCCTTTGGCTCTCTACTCAAGGAGGGCATCCATGTGCGTCTCAGTGGCCAAGATGTGGAAAGAGGAACCTTCAGGTATAAACAATAACATTGAACATTTGAACCAAATAACAAAATAATCATCATGTAGTTATGAATCTAAATCTAGTTGGGTAGTAACATCTACACACTTCTGTTTCATAGACCATTTTTGTTAAGAGGTCACTGACCTGTTGTTTGTTCCATTTGCAGTCACCGCCACCATGTTCTCCATGATCAGAACGTAGACAAGAGGATCTGCATTCCCATGAACCACGTATCCCCTAACCAAGCCCCGTACACCGTCTGCAACAGCTCTCTGTCTGAGTACGGAGTACTAGGTATTCAGACGCTCGCAGTACTTGTTAAAATGATCTTTGAAAGGTAGAGGACTCTCAAGGAAACTCATGTTTTCTTTCATTCTGTGTGGCTTTCTTTAGGTTTTGAGTTGGGCTTTGCTATGGCCAGTCCCGATGCTCTGGTTCTGTGGGAGGCCCAGTTTGGAGACTTCCATAACACGGCTCAGTGTATAATAGACCAGTTCATCTGCCCTGGCCAAGCTAAATGGGTCCGCCAGAACGGCATTGTCTTACTGCTGCCACATGGCATGGAGGGCATGGTAAGGCTATTATTACCCACAATTCATACTACTTTTCTCTCTCTACTGCACTCATCCTTGTGAGCTGGCTGTAAATAAGTTGATTTGGTTTTATTTTGTTCCTTCACAGGGTCCCGAGCACTCTTCTGCCCGTCCAGAGCGCTTCCTGCAGATGTGCAATGATGACCCTGACTTTAACCCTGTAAGACTGTCTTCTAACGTCTCTAAATGTTTATACTGTCTTGATATTAACAAAGATTTCATAGTCTGAATATATCAATACGACTGTTATTTTGGCTGCAGAAAGTCACTGATGACTTTGAGGTGCGTCAGCTGTATGACTGCAACTGGATTGTCGTAAACTGTTCAAATCCCGCCACCTATTTCCATGTAATAAGGAGGCAGATCCTACTTCCCTTCAGAAAACCTGTGAGTTCAGCTGTCTGAGAGCATCTGGATGTTCATTGCTTCATTAAATGCATTACTGGTACTTAAAAGAACAATTAGAATTTTTTATTAATTTACTAATTTTCTTGTTTTTAGCTTATTGTCTTCACCCCCAAATCTCTGCTGCGTCACCCGGAGGCCAAGTCTAACTTTGATCAGATGCTACCAGGTCAGAAACGGTTTGTTTCTTGCTGTTTTAAAGGGAATTTATTAAACAACTGTACCACTTTAAAACACTATATTGCTGGGATAGCACGGTGGCATCAGCATGGCCATTTAAAAAAAATCAGTTACAAGACTTCAAACATCCTGTCAACATTACATGAGGGTTTTAAAGCTGCAGGCTTTGGGAAAATGTGAAACAAATTTGAAATATGCAAGAGCTTTGGAAATCAACTCTGTGATGAAAATGTGATTGTATGAGTTAAATGGGAAATCTGATAGATGGGTTGATTTAAAAAAAAAAAAAAAAAGGCAAATCTGAAAACAATCTTTTAGTAGTGGTTGACCACTATAGATTTTTTTTTTTATGTCTGATGTCGATATCTTAGAGAGCAGGGTTGCTAATGTCCAACAGAAAGGTGGTATAAAATGATATCATACAATTAAATTATAGTAAATAACACGGTGCATAATTTCTGCAGTTAAATGTATTTATTTGAAATAATATTTACTCGGATGTAAATAATTTACAAATAAATAAATTAAAATATATTATTATTAGAGTTATTTTTTTTTTTTAAATGACCTGTAAAATTAGATTTATACTTTTGATTTTGTAATTCTATTAAGAGTATCTTTCATAATAAGTTAAAACGGATAAATAAAAAGGAAGTAAATAATGTAACCAACAGTACACCGAAAAGTCTTAAGTTTGTGTGCACTGGGAATTATATTTTAGCAAATAAATACCAGTTAATACTAATTCAACATGCAAATAAACAATACTATCTGTGTGTATCTCTCCAGGCACTCATTTCCAGCGTGTGATCCCAGATGGTGGACCGGTAACTCAAAGCCCCTCAGAGGTCAAGCGCATCGTCTTCTGTACAGGAAAGGTCTATTACGAGCTCACACGTGAACGCAAAACACGCAACATGGAGGACTCTGTGGCCATCACTCGCATTGAGCAGGTATCACCGTCTTCAGTAGAACATCAGCAGTGCTTTCTTGTGTGATGATCTGATTCTCCCTCTCGCTCCTCCCCAGCTCTCTCCTTTCCCATTTGACCTGGTGAAGGCTGAGACTGAGAAATATCCCAATGCTGACCTGGTCTGGTGTCAAGAGGAGCATAAGAACCAGGGATACTACGACTACGTCAAACCCCGCATGCGCACCACCATCGACCGTGCCAAGCCTGTCTGGTAAACTCTCGTCTTCTCCTGTAGAGCCGTGACACTCCAGGTGCTTTGAATTTTGACCAGTCCTCACCCTGTCCTTCTGTGTGCAGGTATGCCGGCCGTGAGCCCGCCGCCGCCCCGGCCACGGGAAACAAGAAAACCCATCTTCTGGAGCTGAAGCGTTTCCTCGACACTGCCTTCAACCTGGACGCCTTCAAAGACCACGTCTAAACCTGTCCTTCAGTCCACAAATAAAACGATAACTCACAAACACCCCATTCACCCAGCAACCAAATACACTAAGAATAGCGATACAGTTTATCCAATGTGTTCAGGTTTGCAAAACACACTCTCTGCCCTAAACTCACTCACTCTCCTGCATGAATTCACTATTTTTTTTTAGTTAATATTGTTCATTTCAAGCCTTCGTCACCATTGTTGCCCAGTTCAACAACACCAAATGATGATAAACCACAGGAAATTCAGATTCTCTTGGTTAAGTATGACAGCACAAATGTTGATTTGAATAGACCTAATGTATTTTCAACCAAAGCACAGCTCCAGTCCTGTTACAGATGCAGCAATCACGTCTGTTGCCTCCAAACTCACGATTAAGAGATTTTTCCTTAAACTTTCAAATGTAGGGTTGTTGGTATCCACACTCTCAGCGGCTATATGGCTTTAATTTGTATGTTTGTGTTTTTTTTTTTTTTTTCTTCATTGATAATTGTGGGCTAAGTTCAGAATAAGGGAGAATTTTGGCACATACATTTGCAGAGTCTGGATAGTGGGCTGGATTGTAAAGTAAGTGGTAAAAATGACACTTTATCTGTACCTTTGCACTGTTTTCTGGTAAGAAGAAAAAAACAATTGGTTCTCTGAAGTGGATGTTGCAGTTGTATGATTGTATTTATGTAAAAATGGCTTCGTATTCAGAGGAGGAAAGGCTTGGCGTTAAAATCAGGACTGTGGAAATTTTACATGTATGTGCCTCTGTTCTGGTTCCAAATCATTGTCTATAGATGGCATTGTATAGTCTGTACACTCGGCTAATCATTGGTGCAGCCTGGTGCAGATAAACCCCCTTCAGAACTCCAGTCCTCCTTTGCCATCTGATAACGTGTGCCATACAGCCCAACCCAGCAGCAGGAACATTTAATATGACAAGCAAGACAGAATTACACCTGTTTGTGGTCACTCTTTTAAATAGAAACCAATGACATCCTTTTGGCTTTTTCAAAGAGAGAGAGCAAATGATTTTATTTATTTTGGCTTTTGGAGGAATAAGATTCTGTCCTCGTAACAGTTTAGCTTCATACAATAAACTCATTATCTTCTCAAATGTTGGGAGTTGTTCATTTATTAGTTTAAGAAGCTGCATTGTGTCTGATTATGCAAAGTGGCATGCGATTTTTGAGGACACAACCTGTGCTACATCTTGCAAACAAAGTGATTTTAAATTAAGTTATATTCAAATAACCTAACTTGATTAAAATGCGTAGGTTTAATCAACATGCAAACCTTTATTGCATTGCACCATTTAATTATTTTGACGTTCTATTTTATTGAAAAACAGTTATTGAAAATTCTGCAATCACAAATGTGTATGCAAATGAAAAAAATGTCTTAACAGCAGAACATTTCGTGGGAACTATAACATCTTATATGAGGAGCCTTTAAATATTGTGTGGGACAGTTAGGGCCTTAAAAAAAGTTTGAGCACTGCACTGCATATCCTTAGTATTCCTTTTAAAGTATCACAAGCCGCCTTCTCTCCGCGTTTCCTAAAAGCGCGTGTCGCGGCCACATTCTGAATGCAGCTCTTTCATTGGTTAACGTTTGTGTCACTCAAAGCATCGGAACGCTCTTATTGGACAGACGTGGCTTCATGCCGCCTCTCCGGTAATTATATAGTTTGGCGGCCTGGCCCTCATCCGGTCTTTCCTCCATTCCAAGGCAGCCACGCGCTTCGGCCCAGCATCATCTAAACCTAAAAGAAACACTCTGCTTACTATCGTAACCTCGGTTCCCTGAGAGCGGGAACGAGACATCACGGAGATATTTCTCCATTATGGGAACTCCTTCCCTTCCAACCTTTCCTGAAGTCCTATTGGCTCCCG